ATTTTTAAACTCATTCTTTTATTTGAAATTGTCATCTTTCATTTTTTTCTTGTTATATGAATTTTATTATAGATGCTACCAAGTGTGTCTAACTGTCTCTTGTCATAAATTTACAAATGTCTATTCTCTCTTGGTGCAGTTATTCTCTTCATTTTATATTATGAGATATTTTCATAGATCAGGGCATATTTTTGCTCATCACTTATTCTTGCTTAAACAGCAAAGTGTGTCAGGGTTCTACATTTGCCCAAGGTCAGTGTCTGTAGTTTTGCTTAGATCCACTCACTTTGCCTGATGATACTTGGAATCTTCTTCTCATATTTCAAACTAGAAGATTCTTTAAAGTAGATTCATATTACATACTGGGAGATACAGAAGCTCAAATAAAAGGAGTAGGTGCCTAGTATGGGAAAACTCATCTGTGTGTCCACTTTCTTCTCTGATGAAACTGGAGTGCAAAGCCAGCTTTCTGGGTCTACTTTTGCTTGTCCCATTGAGCATTTAGGTAAAAACTGGGGTTCTTCCTGACCTGCCCCTTATCGTTTAAGCACTTTTGTGCCTGGGATAACTCATTTCTGATATCCTTGGATGTCAAAGCTTCATGTCCCCGATCCGTTGCAAGAACTTCCTGCATGTTCTCTGGGCTTCTCATGCTCCTCTCCAGACTGGCCCTCTAGTAAGGGGGATTTTAGAGTGAGTTTTCCACATCACCACTTTCTTTGGAAGGAAATGCATTACCCCCAACCCCCACCAACTACTCCATGTAGCAGAAATTCTTCAGAGCTTAAGTCTTGTAGATGATACCCAACTACAAGATATTTACTGTTTCTTTGATTATTTTTGTTGAGACTTGGAGATTAAGATGCTTGTGTTTAAATTGTCATTTTATTCTATTTTTATTGTATGTATGCTTATATTGATATTTGAGAGTGAAATTCAGAAGATACTGTTTGACACGTCAGAGACAGAGTGCTTCATAATTTCTGTCTCACAGTAAGATGACAGAGTTCTTTTAGATTTGTTTTGGGCATAAAGTAGGAAGTATTTTGAGAAAGTTCCATTCTGGGTAAGGGCATAAAATGATCAAAGGCACAGAGGTAAGATGTAAAAGGAACAAAATGTAAGGTGGCTGGGCATATAGCTTGATAGACATAGGAGATGGACTTGTAGAACACGATGAAAATCCTGCAGCTGGACTTTGGTCAGTTGGTTGGGAAAGAGTCCTAACAGGTGTAAACATGTAGGTGACATGACCTGTTCTCTTTACAAGTATTATTCTGCTAGTTGTAAAGGTAGTAGTGATGCAATGTGATGCTTCTCAAATAGAGTTAACCTTTGAATATTTAAAAAATCATTATGTACAAGAGCTCGTCTGTGCTGGGATCAAAATAGGCAACAACACAAAGTGGTTTCTTGATGAAGTAAGTGCTGTAGAAAATCACCAACATTTGAAGACTCTATTCTGTAACAGAACAAGGAAAGCAATGAATTAGAGAGATTAAATACAATTTTTAAAGGAAAAAATAATTACAGACATATGTGTTTATGTGGTTAAATACCGCATATCAGGCAGACCAGCATTCAGTAAGTAGGGACATGCGTCTTGCTGTGGTCCATGGAAATGCAGCTTGTTCTTGGGTGTGTATACCACCTGCTGTGTGTTCATGCATCAGGTGATCTGGCCTCCCACTGTCATTCTCGGTATGGATTGCCACCTCATAAAAGCAGATATTGCATAAAGATAATAACACAAATAAATGTTAGTAATATTTTCTAAATTATATTTAAGATAAATTTTGAGAAGAAATACCATCAGCAATTTTTTTAGAACCCTTGTATGCTTCCCACAGAACACTCATACAGTATAGAAAACGTGAAAAATGCAGGGCCAAACAGAGCTGGATTTGCATCCCAGAGTTACCATTTATAAACCATATGACCTTTGTCACATTTTTCTATAAAATAAAGGATAATATTTGGGGACTTTGTGGAAATTTTAATTAGATAATGATTTCAAGACACATAGTAACAGTGCCTGGCATATGCAGTGGAGTTACACACATTTATTTTGCTGAAATTATTATTATTATTTTTTATTTGGAGTCTTACTCTGTTGCCCAGGCTGGCATGTAGTGGCACACTCAGGGTCACCACAGCCTCGACCTGCTGGGCTCAGGTGATCCTTCTGCCTCAGTGTTCCAAGTAGCTGGAACTACAGGCACGCACCACCACACTGGGCTAATTTTTTTATTTATTGTAGAGACGAGGTTGCCCAGGCTGATCTCAAACCACAGGGCTAGGGCAATCCTCTCCTCCACCTCCCAAAGTGTTGAGATTACAGGTGTGAGTCACTGTGCCCAGCTTGAAATTATTAATTATTATTAAATAGCTTTATATGCTAGGAGCGTACTTTGTTTTTGTTGTTTTGAATGAGGTTTCTAAAAATGAAGCAGCTCTTTCATCTGAGATTCAGCTAAAGAAAGAGCAAACCATGAAATGCTGTAGAGAAGACTAACGTGTTAAACTTATTGAAAGATGGTATGTTTGTATACAGTTGTATTTGCAAAACCATATAAGCTGTACTTTTGGGTGGTTTAAAGGGTTTTCAAGGCTTATTTGACTACATGTGTGATTTTTATTTTACAGGTTGACTTTAAAACCCAACATCAGCCTTAAATGTAGTAGCTAATCTTGAACAAATGTTTAACCAATAGTGGTGCCTTGAAATTTCCTCTTTATTTAATGAATTTAAGATATATTGGACTATGTGTTTAAATATTTCTTAATGTTCTTTATAGAATATAGAGTTCTTTTTTTCTTCCTTGGAACTGAGGAAACATAATACTTCAGTTATTGCTAGAGCTGTTTCCTAGCTGATCCTAAACAATTCTCAGACAGGCAGGTATGAGGAATGTATTTACAGTTAAAGTACATACAAATAAAATCAATAGCATTCTCAATAACTGTTTCTTTGGTTATTCAATTCAGGCTTTGTTTGTGAACCCCTCTGACACACACACACACACACACACACACACACACACCCCACTGTTACATAATACAGTGTGTATTCATCTAATCTACTTAAATAATGCAGAGTTTTTTCATACTGACTCTTACTGATCTAGGCAAGTAGACTGATTGTTTGAAATATTGCCTTTGAATATCTGAAGGCAGGGATACTGGCAATTGATTTTTGTGGTCTTGCTTTTTTTATGAACTCTGAGTCTTTCTGTTTATCATTTGATATTTTGAATCACAGAAAAACTTAGATAACTGAAAAGGATATCTCAGCAGATTGTAAGAGTCTCCATTTTATTCTTATTAAACTATTAAAGAATGAAATGAAGATAAATTCTTTAAAATGATCTGCTTGGAGGCCCTTTGGAACTACAGAGTCATTTAAATGAACTGAGAAGGTAGTCCATGTTGCTTGTTGATGACCTTTTTGAGAATGACTGGGACAGACAAAGGAGATTTTTTTTTTTTCTACTCAGACTTAACTTGATTTTATTCTCTTTTTGGCATATTCACCACCTGATTTTATGCTTTGTAACATAAAAGGGAACATGAAAACCAATTCCTTTCAATAAACCTTTAAAAAATTATTTTTTAATAACCCAAGCCCCTATAATTTCTGAGATATCTGATTGTTCCCTTCAAAGAAGTTCTCAATTTACTGATTTTTTTTGCACTCAGAAGAAAGGTCTACAAAGTCAAGAGTATAGGGCAGTGTGTTTTAAGTTCTGTTTAAATTTATTTTATTCATGTTGACTACAGAGCAACAGAAGAAAGCTTAGCGAACGAAGGACAAGTCAATTCAACCACAGAAGCTTATGAATAGCTAGATTAATTTCAAAAAGATCAGTAAATAGATATTTTAAACTCCCACTGACCTTATTAAAATATACTGCCAGAAATACTCTGTTTGAACCATTCTCATAAATTAGTCATCTTGCAAAACAGCTGTGGCAATATGATATAATGAAAAGAGCGGTGATTTACTAATCTGATTGGGAGTTCTTATATTGGCTCATTCACAGGGAGATTAAATGACATGCTTAAGTCCCTAGATGAGGAAGCCATGCATGAGAGGATTGGGTCAGATGATCTATCACAAAAGACTTTCCATGAGTCTGTGCTTGAATTTAGAAACCACATATAGAACATACCAGAAAATTTGGGTGATGGTGTATCCTCATGCAGAGTTGCAGTGTTATTTTAGAGGACTAGTGCCCTTCGTACTCTTAAAGAGCAAGGAGGGTATGTTGTGTATAATGAATTATACCCTTGTTGTCTGAGGCAGAAAGGTGCTAAGTGTGTTACAGAATTGTTGAGAGGGCTGAGCTTCCAGGAACAGCTCCCAAAGTCTCAATACAGAACTGGACCACCACGGGAGCTGCTGCCTCCACCAGGACAGGGACCTTAAAATCAAGAAGCTACCTGCTCCGTTGGAAAACCACCACTGCAGTTACCAGCACCAGAAGCAGTTTGTCTCTGCTTCAGTCTCTATCAATATAGTGCCCTGCCCCTCTGTCCCTAACTCAGGTCCCACTCCAGTTCTTGCCCAAGTCTTTCTGATTGGTAGAACTTAAATCACATCTGAAGTCCTAGCTGTAGGAGAGTCCTGAGATTTCATCTTTCCAACTACTGTGTGCTACATGAGGTTTGGAGTACATGTTGACAAGCCAATCCATTGTATGCACCATTGACAGTAAGCTAAATATTTATAATAAATCACATTTGTGTTTTTTAACAGTTTGCAGAATAGCCACACATACTTTTTATTTAGAGCTCTTGTCAAGCCACTCTGCATATAAAAATATTTCTGAGTACTTCCCAAGAAAACATCTCTTCTAAAAATTGAGAATAAGATCTGCATTTTAAATTTAGGTGTCCTTCCAGCTTTATCTTCTCCACATCAATTCTGTTTTCATTTGTGTCTTTTCCCCTGGGGATATCCTCCACCTTTTCAATCTGATTTGCTCTTTACCATACAGACCTGTGGATGCAGAGCCAGAATCCTCCGAGGTTGATGCTCCCGGTCGGTGGCATAGCGTCTATGTCAACAGAACATCTCCAACACCTTCAGAATCTGCAACCACCGTTAAGTCACTTATCAAGTCATTTGACTTGGGACGTCCAGGTATTTGATCCTTTTTTTTCCGTAAGCAAAGCTTCAAATTTAAATGTTGGCCCAACATCCCAAGCCTATCTTTACTCCGTGCTGGCCTCAAGTTGTTACAACCACAACAACTGTTAGGTCATACCACATGCAGCCATTGAGGCTCCAGGAAGGCAACGATGAAGAGTCTGGCTCATGAATAATGCCAATACAGGCTTTTTCTCTCCACCTCTTCCCTCTTTCCAGTTCTTGCTTTGCCACCTTTCTTCCTTTCTTTTCTGCTTTGTATAGCTATTAAATTCAGGTCACTACTGTGTGCTTGCTTCCCATCTCATGAGAATTAGCAGGGTCAGCCAGAAGCTTCGTCTCCTAGAATCTGAGGCATCATATCTATGCATCTGGCCCTCTTGGTGGGACCTCTGGCAGTCCTCAACTTTCAACATGCCACTAGACTTTCTTCTACCTAGTTTTGTATGTGATAACCTGTACACATCTGTCACTCCTGATCTTAGTGTATTCTCAGCTTTTCCTGGAATTGTCCGACTGACTCACAATTCCTTTTTAGCCATGCTTATCTGCATATATAAGAAAAATGTTTATCTATGTTTTTATATATATATATATATATATATATATATATATACTATACACACATAAACATGGTAAATGAAGAAACAGATGTGCATTTCCACAACAACAATATTTTTCTTCCCTTGACTTCAACAAATATGCCATTGTATTGGAAGACTATAGTAAAAACTAATTCTAGGATGTATCTGGTTGTCTCTGCCAAAATAGTTTGCAGCTAAATTAGATTAAGATTAGACTACACCTACTGAAAATCATGAAAGCCCAACAGTAATGGTTTGTACAAAAACTTTTCTGTTTCTTCCTCCTATATATACCTCATCATATATTTTTTTCTTTTTTCTCAGTTATCCTACATCTAAGACTGCTCCCTACTCAGCTAACTCCTCTCATTTCCTCAATTCAGCTCTCGTTCAAAGGAGAAAAGGATAGTAGAATAAATGTTACATTAAACATCACAGGATACTTAAGTCACCAAACAAGTAACAACAAATCAAGAACTATTATTTGCTGTTTTGAACCAGAACAATACATAAATGTTCCCATTTCTTTTCTTGGCAGGTGGAACTGGACAGAATATTTCTGTCCATAAGACACCCAGAAGTCCCCTAAGTGGAATACCAGTGAGGACTGCACCAGCAGCTGCTGTCTCTCCAATGCAGGTATTAGATGAACCCCAGAAGTAACCACTGCTTATGGTTTGTGGCTCTGTATCCCATTAGATATTTTTCTTTACGTATATTAGAGTATATATGTGTGGGAGGAGTGGAGAGAGAGTGATTGTGTGTGTGTGTGTGTGTGTGTGTGTGTGTGTGTGTAGGACGTGTGTTTTATAAAGTGGCTTATACTACACATTATTTCAACACTTCACTTTAAAAATTTTTTAAAATATATTTTAATGATGTGGTGTACAATTCAGGATTAGATACACAAGTGGTCATCGCACAGGTTAAGTTTAGGCGTCCCATTGGTCCTCACTTCGCCTGGTTTGGGATCAAGTACCCTTATTGATATTATGTGCCCCCTGCCCTCCCCTAGCAGTGTCCCGCTACTGTCAATCCCTTTCTTGAGGTGTTATGATAAATGTTCAGGATCCACTTATGAGTAAGAACATGTGGAACTCGGTTCTTTGTTTCTGTGATAGATCACCGAGTATGAAAGACTCTAAATCTATCCAAGTTGCTACAAAGTCCATAATTTTGTTCTTCTTTAATAACTGTATAATATTCTATCATGCATATGTGTCACATTTTTTTATTGAGTCCACTTTCAATGGGCAGCATGTATGGTTCCATGTTTTTGCTATTCTGAATAATGCTGCAATGAAAGTGCATGTGCAGGTATCTTTTTGGTAGAATGATTTGAGTTCCTCTGGGTGTATTCCCAGAAGGGGGGTTGCTATGGAAGGTCAATTTTTAGATCTTTTAGAAATCACCACACTGTTTTCCACAGAGGTTGTACTAGTTTACACTCCTACCCTCATACCAACAGTGTAGAAGTGTTCCCTTTTCTCCACATTCTCTCCAGTATCTGTTGTGTTTTGAGTTATTATTAATGATGGTCATCCTGACTGGAGTTAGGTAATATCTCAGTGTGGTTTCAATTTGCATTTCTTTGATGATTAGTGAGGCTGAGCACTGTTTCATGTGTCTGTTGGCTGCTCGTATGTCTTTTTTCTCACTCCTGTAATCCCAGAACTTTGGGAGGCGGAGGTGAAAGTTTTGCCTGAGATCAGGGGTTCAAGACCAGTCTGGGCAACTTGATGAGACCTCATCTCTTAAAAAAAAAGGGGGGGTGGGGGAGGGGGAGAAGTGTCTATTCGTATCTTTCGCCCACTTTTTTTTTTTTTTTTTGAGTTGGAGTCTTACTCCATCGCCCAGGCTGGAGTGCAGTGGCACACTCACAGTCACCCCAGCATTGACCTGCTTGGCTCCGGAAGTGATCCTTCCACCTCAGCCTTCCAAGTACCTGGAACTACAGGCGCACGGTACCATGCCCGGCTAATTTTTTTTTTTTTTTAAATACAAGATCTCACCAAGTTACCTGGGCTGGTTTGGACCCGCGGGCTCAGGCAATCCACTTGCCTTGGCCTCCCAAAGTGCTGGGATTACAGACTGAGCCACTGAGCCCAGCCTGCTCACTTTTTATTAGGGCTGTTTGTTTTTTTCCTTTTGGCACATCTGAGTTCCTTGTAGATCCTGGATGCTAGCCTTTTGTCAGATATACATCAACACTTCACTTTATCATTGGAACATAAGCTTTGTGAGGGTAGAGATTTTTGCTTATTTTTCTTGCTATTATATTTTATTTTTGAGTTAAAGTCTCACTCTGTCGCCCAGGCTGGAGTGCGGTAGCATGTTCAAATGGCCACTGCAGCCTTGACCTGCTGGGCTCAGGAAATCCTTCCACCTCAGCCTTCCAAGTAGCTGGAACTACAAGCACACGCTACCACACCTGGCTAATTTTTTGATTTATTGTAGAGATGAAGTCTCACCAAGCTGCCCCAGCTGGTCTTGAACCTCCGGGCTCAGGCAGTCCTCTTGCTTGAACCTCCCAAAATGCTGTGCTTACAGGCTTGAGCCACTGTACCCGGCTTTTTGCTATTATTTTTTAAGTTGTTTTGTACCCAAACAAGCATCTTAGACCATTTGATTGTGTTATCATATCTTTTGTCTATAATGTTGGTTCTAACAGAATCACTTCATAGTAGAAGCCCAATAAATATTTGTTGAATGGAGGAATAAGTCTCAGACATCTTTTAATGTCAGTATTTGGAGAAATAATTCATTTTTTTAAGGCTACATAGAATGCAGTGACTTACTTAGCTACTTTTTTACTGATAGACATTTAGGTTGTTTGGGGTTAATTTATTACAAAAACAATATAATGAAGAGTCTTGTGCATACTTTTTTTTTTTTTTTTACACCACTTAAGGGGCTATGTCTGTATAAGAGTGTATAAAGATTTATTTACAACTGTCAGAAATCACCACAGTTAAGCAGAAAGTAATTTTATACAGGGTATTTGGTACTGGAAGGGCTGAGGGTGAAGTTCTAGGAAACTGAGCTTCCAGGAAAGGTTCCCAGAACATATCAGAGTTAGCCATTTAAAAGGGCTTCTGTTTCTGCCAAAACCAGGAAGTCTTTCTCTAGGTGCTTACCCCAAACTGCCACTTCTGTCAAGATCTAGAATCAGCTTCAAGACTATACTGCCACAGGTACAGTCTGTGCCAACAAAACACATGCTCTGTGCCTTGCCTCATACTGCCCAGAAAGCTATAGAACAGACACCAGAACATCTGTTATCCTACCTCAAAAAAGCAAGCAGCCTTACAGCCATGCTTGCTAGTAAAAGCTGCAGAGGGGCAGCCTTACACTACCTTGGACCTTTTCGATCTTCTGAGAATAGGCCTGTTTGACAGAAACTACATCACTTGATGAACCAGGCTTTAAAGGAGTTTGGCAAATATATCACTTAGATTTTCAGTCTCTTTTAATTCAGTAAGTTACCCCACAGAGAGACTAGAATGGAGTTGTCAGACAGTCCTAAAGTCTTCCACAGATTCCTAGAACAGAAAAATGGGGTACTAGAAAAAGAAATGTTCTTGAGCTATCCTGGCATGTTGAAAAACTTGATAGAATCACTGCCCTTCACTTGACACTTCCACTCACAGTATATAAAGTACTATTTTCCCAGGATTTTGACACTCTTTATAAGTTTTGAAGACTAAGAAAATATACAAGGATGTCTTGTTTTACTTCATTCATTGGTAGGGTTGACCACGTCTTCATATGTTTATAGGCATTTATATATCTTTTGTATGTGTATATGAACACTTGCATACTTTGCCTGTTTTTCTTTTGAGGTGTTAGTCTTCTTCCTATTTGTAACAAATCTTGATTATATTGTGCTTTTTAACTTTTTCATATGTATCACTGTTTTCTTTGCTATTGTTTAACTTTGTTTATAGTTATTTTTTGCTGAAGATAAATTTTACGTTTTTGTGTTTTCACTCTTCTCCCTATCCTGACTTCAAGGGTTTTTGTTTCCTGCCTTAAAATGTCTTTCTAGCTATTAAATTGTTAAATTATTCTCCCTTAGTATCTTAAATAAGCCTTTTATTTGTTTTGTATTAAAACCCATAGAAACATGGGTTTGGATTTAGGTGATCTTCCTCTATCTTAACTGCCTTTTAGAAGGAGAAGTAAATACTTTATGTAGGAAGATTGCATCATCTGGAACCTAGAACCTCAAATTATATCTACATTTTTTCAAATATAGTGTCATTTAGTCAATTTCTAAAATACTAGGCATATTAATAGATAATACCAAATGATAAAAACCAAGAGAAAAAATAAACATTAGAAAAAGACACAGGAGATCCAAATATTGATATTATTATATACAGATTGTAAAATAACTGAGGTTAATACAGTTGAGAAAATAAGTGAAAAGGTAGATAATTTCAGCAGAAAACTGTAATCTATTAAAAAGAATTTATTAGAAATTTTATAACTTAAAATACCTAAATTAAAGACTAAACAAAATTTAGCTATAGATTTAACAGTTTAAGAGAGACTTAAGGAACTGAAGACAGTTCAGTAGAAATATCTGAACTGAAGCACAGAGGAAAAAAAGGATAGAAAATAGAGAAAAGGACATAAGACATAGGGGATGGAGTGAAAAGATCTAATATGTAGAGTCCCCCAAAGGGGAGAAAAAAGACAGATGGAGTCGAAACAATACTGGAGGAGATAATGGCTAAGAATTTCCAAAATTAATGAAAGGTATCAAGCTCCAGATTCAAGAAACAATATGAACCCCAAGCGAGATAAGTACAAAGAAAACCAAACCTAAACACATTAGTTTAAACTGCTGGACACAAATGAAAAAGCATCCTAAAAGAACCAAAGGGAAAAAAAAAGGCACCTGAATGTCAAAGGAGCAAGGCAGAATTGACAGCTGCCTTCTCAACAAAAATGGTGGGAGTCAGAAGACAATGCAGGGGCATCTGCAAAACAGTGAAAGAAAATAACTGCTTTCTTAGAGGTCTCTACCTAGTAAGGATAACCTTCAAAGGTGAGCACAGAAGAAAGATGCTTTTAAACAAAACCAGATTTTTTAATACTAACATACCTGCAGTGAAGAGACTATTAAAAGGAATTCTGCATGAAGTTTGTCCTTTTAAAAGACTACTAAAATTGATGAACTTCTGGCAAGACTGCTACAAAGAAAAGACATAAAATGCCTCTTATTAATGAAACTTCTTAGAAAACTAGGAATAGAAGGGAAATTCCTTCATCTGATGAAGGGTTTCTATATCTGCAGCAAATATACTTAATGGTGAAATATTGGATGCTTTCCCACATTGCTGTGAATAGGATAGAGATGCCCTTTATTCAGCTAACTTTATTTAAAAATAAAAGCTTAAAATACCTTTGAAAATCATATACCACAACAATTATATTTATGTGGGACATGAGTACATTGTATCATACTTAATATGATGTGGTGTAGGGCCTTTAAAGAAGGAATACTTTGGAAGGTCTCAAAATGGCCCTACTCACACATGTACACTGAAGAATGTACCAGAATGTTCATTTCACCAATTTTTTTTGAGTCGGAGTCTCACTGTCACCCAGGCTGGAGTGCAGTGGCATTCTTATGGCTACTGCAGCTTCAACCTGCTGGGTTCAGGCCATCCTTCCACGTCAGCCTTCCGAGTAGCTGGAACCACAGGTGTGTACCACCAGGCCTGGCCAATTTTTTGATTTATTGTAGAGATGAGATCTTGCCAAGTTGCTTAGGCTGGGTTCAAACCCCTGGACTCAGGCAATCTTCTCCCCTCTGCCTCCCAAAGTGCTAGGGTTATAGGCATGAGCCACCATCCCTAGCATTGTTCTTAATACTAATATCAATATCAGTATCAGTGCCAATATTAAGAATCGGTAAAATAAATTATGATAATGAAAATAGCTAAAGTTTATTGAGTACTCACTATGTACCAGGCTCTGTTTTGATTTTTCTAAATGGATTTAACTCATTTAATCCTCCTAACAATCCTCTGGGGCAGGTACTATTAGTATCATTGCCATTTAATAGATAAGGAAAATAAAGTGCAAAGAATTAAGTAACCCAGTCACACAGCTTGGTGGTGGCTATCAGGCTCCATAGTCTTGTGCTTGCCCTCTGAGTGATATGGCCTCTTATATGACACTTCTCATGGGAGGCCATTAAGATTGTGGGTACTAGAATGATCGTCAAGATATATTATGTGGAAAAAGCAAAACAGTATGCAAAATAGTATAATGGTATGATAACATTTGTGTTTTTATAAAAACAGAGGGCTTTTTTCCAAGGTTTTTATTTTATTTTTATGTTTTTATTTATTTGAGTCAGAGTCTTACTCTGTCACCAGGCTCGAGTGCAGTGGCACACTCACAGCCACTGCAGCCTTAACCTGCTGGATTCAGGTAATCCTTCCACCTCAGCCTTTCAAGTAGCTGGGACTACAGGTATGCACCACCACACCCAACTATTTCAATATTGTAGAGACGAGATCTTGCCATGTTGTCCAGGCTGGTCTTGAACTCCTGGGCTCAGGCAATCCTCTTACCTTTGCTTCCCAGAGTGCTGGGATTACAGGCATGAATCACTGCACCTGGCCTTCAAGGTTTTTCTCTTAATAATAGCACTCTCACTTGCATTCTGAAATGCTGTTTTAAATGGTACAACAACAACACGAAAAACACCCCACATAACATGAAGTCTACCCTCTTAACAAAATTTTAAGCGTATAGTGCAGTATTGTTAGCTAGAAGTACAGTATTATATGGCAAATCTCTAGAACTTTTTAAGGTTGCGTGACTGCAACTCTAGCCTTTCAGCAGCTCCCTATTTCCCCTTCCCCTCAGTCTCTAGCAACCTGCCATTCTGCTTTCTGCTTCTGTGAGTTTGACCCCTTTAGATACTTCATGAAGTGGATTCAGACAGCATTTGTCCATCTGTGACTGGCTTATTTGATTTAGCATAATCTTGTCTTCAAGGATCATTAATGTTGTAGCATGTAACAGGATTTGCTTCTTTCTTAAGGCTGAATAATATTTCATGGTATGGATACACCACATTTTCTTTATCCATTCAGCTGTGGGTGGATGTTTAGATCGCTTCCACCTCTTGAATAACGCTGCAGTGAATGTGAGAGTGCTAATGCATTTTTAAGCTCCTGTTTCCAATTATTTCAGATAAATACCCAGAATTGGGATTGCTGAATCATATGATGGTTCCATATTTAATATTTTTGAGGCGACTCTATACTTCTTTTTATAATGGCTGCATCATTTATGTTCCCACCAACAGTACGCAAAGGTTTTAGTTTCTCCACCTCCTCACCAATATTTATTTTGTTTTTTGATAATGGCCTTCCTAACAAGTTGGAGGTGGTATCTCATTGTGGTTCTGATTAGCATTTTCCTGATGATTATTGATGTTGAGCATCTTTTCATATGCTTGTTGCCTTGTTTTTAAAAAAAGTATTTTTACACTCATTCTTGAATATACATAAAATATTCCAGATTTTTCACTATTTGCTCTTTTTGTTTCTTTTGAGAATTGTGTCCATTGCATTTATTACCTATTCAAATAAATTAATTTAAATCTCCCCCAGTGATTCTACCGTGTTTAAGAACTGCTGCACATGTGTGCACATATACACCTGCGTTTATACTGTTCTTGATCTCACAAGCTCACCACACTGGTGTACTGTCTGGTTTTTACAGAGGCATTCGACGTACAGCAGTGTACGGCCATCCAGCAAAGGAATGACTCAACGCTTAGATCTTCCTGACCTTCCCCTTTCAGGTAAATTACCTTAAATGTACTTTTGACTTGTATTTTTGTGGAGTTAACTTGTCTTCATTCTTTGCATGGAACTGAGCTTAGGAGAATAATCACTGACATTCATTCCAGCAATTCCAACCCCTAAATGTTCATTTTATAAATGTTAGATCCAGCAATATAGTCAACAAAATAAGTGTCTCCTGCTAACTACACTTCTTAATGTGTTTGTGCTATGGAGAAAGGCCACACTTTGTTGTTTTTCTGTTGAATCTCAAAAGAACATCTTCTAATCTTTTTGCTACAGTTGCTGAGGTTTGAGTATAGTGGTACCATCATAGCTCACCACAGCCTTGACCTCCTGGGCTCAGGTGATCTCCCACCTTAGCTTCCAGAGTAAGTGGGACTACAGACACACCACTATGCCCAGCTAATTTTTTTATTGTTTATTTAAGGATTAAGTCTCACTATGTTGCCCAAGCTGGTCTCAAACTCCTCAAGCAATCCTCCTGCCTCGACCTCCCAAAGTTCTGATTATAGGTGTATGCCACCACACCTGGCCTCTTCTAATCTTTAAAAAAAAAAACTATTTTAAGAAAAATATTGTAGCTGATTTTGAATTTGTCTACTACATCCACAGTTCTTAAAATATGCTCCTTTAAGATATTTTTGTCTTTGAGTGCAATCCTCTTCCTGTTGTTATTATATTTAAATATATTTTTAATTCAAACCCTGGCCAAGTGTGATGGTTCATGCCTGTAGTTCCAGCTACTTGGGAGGCAGAGGGAGGAGGATCACTTGAACCCAAGAGTTGAGGTTATAGTAAGCTATGATCGTGCTACTGCATTCCAGCCTGGGCAACAGAACAAGACCCTGTCTCTTAAAAAAAAAAAATCAGATCCTGATTATGAAGTGGTTGTGATAATCAGCAGTCCCCCACGTGTCACATTTTCTTTCTTTCCCATTGCACCTCCTGTGTCAGTGGCCCATGTGAAGCAGCCTCTAAGCGGAGTCTGTGGGAGTGGGCCCATGTGGGCGTGAATCTCAGCACTGTGACACTGCTACTCATGTCTGGCTTTGACCCCCATTACTGCACCTCTCTGCACTTTGGTTTCCTCATCGCTAAAATAGAACTAATCCTGTCTGCCTTATAAGATCATTTCAAGGATTGAATTAGCATATTTAAAGTGCTTAGAACATGGCCAGGCATATGATAAGCACTGTGGAAGTGTTTGCTGTTGTCAGTCTTACCTGCTGTTCTGGGCTACACCAGTTCACATACTCAGAATGAAGAACAGTAGCACTCTCAGCCCAGTAGAAAGTTAAGGTTGTTCAGAATATAAGCCTTAGACACATATGTATGTGTCTGTACAGTCACTGTTAGGAAACAAAAATGACAAAAAGAACACAATGAACTATTTACTGGTCCCTATAGGAAGGATGGAAAGCCAAAAATCTAGATCACATAGACAAAAATCCTTTTGTGTCTAAGAATAAAACAAACTTTCTATATCATGATAGCTGAATAAAAGGAAAATCCAACTGTACTTCTTTTAGATCATGGTCAGTCTTGTTCTTTAAATCGTTTTTTCTGTGAGGCAAATTTTCCTCTGAATCTTATTTGCTTTATCATGGAATTAAGTAAGGATTTTTAGACTTAGGAAACACTGATATTGAGAATTTAAAGATGATCTTAGCCCTTTCCTCGAATTTTACATGTGAGAGATTCAAGCTTTATAGAGATGAAGTGACTTTACCAAAGGTTACACTGACTTTGGTTAGATCTAGAGCCAGGATGTTTCCTGATTCTTTCTACCATGTTGCCTTTTGGTAAAGAAGCTGGCGATTGCTCTGATTAGCAGCTTCATAAATAAGTAGGACTTCAAATCATAATAATGACTTCCAAGAAGGAAATGATGACCAAAGACTACTGATAATTTAAAATCAGGAAAACAAACAAACAAACAAAAGCAAAACAAAAAACAAAGAAAGGGCTCAGTGGTGGTAGAGAAAAAAGAGAGTGTGAGTGCCCTTGTACTGGAAAGGGAGCCTTGTATTCATTATCCATACTTGCTATGTAGTGTGAAATAGGGTATAACTTAATTATATACAGTGTACTAGGTGAGCTCTTTTTTAAAATTGTAATAAAAGACACATAACCTAAAACTTCCTATCTTAACCATTTTGAAGTGTACTAGGTGAGCTTTTGATCATAATACTTGTGCTGTCTCCTTTCTGTTCCTATTAAAGTTTCCTATTGTGTAGAAAAATCATTCTTTTAATTGACAATACTGAAGTTGAGACCACAACAGCTATTGCTCTGGAGTAAATACCTCATTGACAGCCCTCACATCTACCCCACCCCCCGCCCCTCCCATCTCCCACCAGGCACCTGTCTACTTGGATAATTCTATTTACTATAATAAAAAAAAGGATTACACAGTGAAAATTGCTTGCTTCCAGCAGTTCCCAGCAGTTGCTTGTCAACACTGAGGTCATCAGAAACTGCAGAAACAGGGATTAATGTGCTGTTTTTGTTGTTCTCTTTAGTGATGTAAACACTGTTTTTTCTCTGCTATTTAGGGCTAATTAGCCTCACTCCCAACTTTACTACCCATAATTGGTGGCTATTGGCTTTAGAAGTGTTGTTTTCTTCTGTGACTATTTGTGGGTCATAGGAAGCAACCCTGGGCTTAGTCTGGTCCCTGGGCTGATGTGTAGCCTTGAATGAGACACTTATTCTGTTCCCTGGGCTGATGTGTAGCCTTGAATGAGGCACTTCAGCTCCAGATTCCTCTATAAATATATTCAAACTCTAAAATTTTCTCTTGTTCTATTCTCTCATGGTCCTTTCAGAAATACTGTCTGGCTGGATGTGGTGGCATAAGCCTATAGACCGAGACTGAAAGATTGCTTGAGCCCAGGAGTTTGAATTCATATCCAACCTGGGCAACATAGCAAGACCCCATCATGAAAAAAGAGAGAGAGAAATAGAGAAAGAAATACCATCTGGACAATTCAGCCCATTTTATTATCCATTTTGACTGAGACTAATATGATAACAGAAAGGAACCTTAAAAGAATTATTTTCACTTATTTTTCAGTGAGACAGTCCCTGTTATTGGAATGGCCTTTTCTCTTGTAAAACAGTTTTTCTTGGTTCCCAGCTTTTTGCTACTCCTGTGACCTGATAATCATATCAGGCATTTTCCTGCCAGCTCTCTCGCTCGCTCAGATATCCTTCCATAAAACAAAATATATTATCTGAAGAGAGGGCCAGCTTCACAGACTGCTTCATGGGTGCTTGCACAAGGCCCTTAGAAGGGCCCATGCTTGGCTTAATACTCTGATGACAGTTTCATGAAATTCATAATAATTTTTTAACAAGAGACTGATTTGGCACCAGGTCGCATAAATGATGTAGTTGGTTCTGCCTGGAGAATCCTTTCTAGAAAACACCGTGTCCCTACTTGCATTTCTGTTACTTTAGAAATTGTGTATATCTAGCAAGCTAGCTAGCCACACACACACATATATGATTTTACTTGAGAAATTAAGTGAGAAGTGTATTGTACTTGAAAATAAAGTATGAGGACCAAGTTTCTCCTCGGGAATAGTGATTACATTGTTGTTCCCACAGATCTTCTCAAGGGAAGGGCTGAGAACCTGAAGCCGGACCCTTACCTCCGCAAGAGTCCTTCACTTGAGTCACTGAGCAGGCCCCCCTCTCTGGGCTTCGGGAACACAAGACTACTGAGTGCATCCACTGGAGGGTTGAAACCACAAAGCAAACTCAGGTATCATGTTTTAAACAGTAGAAAATCAGAAAAACATTGGGCTAATAACCTTTTATTCTTCCTCCTGTTTTTATTCCCTGTGGTCGGTTTACTTCTACAAATATTTGCTGAATGAAAATGATTAAGATACTGTGCCTTCCCTCAGCGAGTCTAAAAGGAGGACACGAGACAGCAGTAGTGTGCAAAATAAAATTAAGGGCTATAAAAAACAATACTGTGTAAGCAAAGTACTCAGGGGATTGTTAGTTGGATCAAGAAGTCTAGAGAGAAGTGACATTTCTGCCAGGGAGTATGAAGGTACCATCATGAGCAAACTGGGGAGCAGGGTTCAGGGAACATGTGCAGTTTCGTGTGTCTGGACCATACTGTGGGCTTCTTGAGAGCAGGGACCTTGCCATGCATATGGTAGGCTCTTCATCAGTAGTTGTTGGGAGGATGGATAAATGACCGGGACATTATAGCTGGAAAGCAGGCTGGAGCCATAATGCAAATTGTCTTCATCGCTAAGGAAGAGGTTTGTATTTACTTTGGTAAAGCCCTGGAAGAACCACTAAGCTTGCGGGATTTTATTTTTGTTTTTGAGTAGCAGTACAGTGAGACTGGGCCTGTACTTTAAGGAGGATTAACCATAAAACAGTGGCACATGAGGATTAGAGAAGCATTTTGAAATCAGTGTTTAAGGAAGACTTTCCCAAGAATGTGAAGGAGGGGGTGGGAGAGGACAGCCAGGCTGGCAGAATGGTCACCAAGAGTCAGTCTTTGCTCCCACATCTCTGCCACCTCCCCCTCCCTTTTCAGTGCCCCTGGTCACCCAGGCCGCAGCAAACTTTCTTCAGCTGTTTTCTCTCTCTCCCATGTCTTCCCGGCTTCTCCATGTTGGTTAATTTTCTGAATCACTGAGCGCATACTGTTGCAGACCTCAGAAGCCTACTGTGACTCTCTGTCATCCACTCTCCTCATCTAGTCTTCTAGATGCTGTATGACTTAGTGCTACCCCCACTTACCTGCCAGAATGGCTCAGCCCCTCCCTCCACCGAGCCTGTTTTACTCCGTGCCCTTGCAGTACCACACAAGCATTACTGTAGAAGGTTCTAGCCTGAATGGTCTTCCTTTGGTCCTTTCACACTCCTTAATACTGCTTCTCATTCAAGGCCAAATCTTCCATGAAGTTGTAGCTAACTATCACTCTAGCAGCATTGACATCTCCCTTTTCCAACTTTGGTGTCTTATACTTTTTTGGGTGTTTAATTCCTGTACTGCTTTGTAATGTGGATAACTGTTACATAGTCTATGCCTTTGTCTCCATTTAGTCTGTAATTTAGTGACAAGTACATGTCTGACTTACATTTTAGTATCTTGCATTGTACAACACACATTGCAATCTCAGTCCCTTGCATTGTACAACACACATAATGTTTCACTCAGTAAATACTTATGGATGAGTAAATAGATCAGTATACAAAATTGGCTACTTTAGAAGTAATCGTTTTTTGGGGTTTTTTTTGAGTTGGCGTTTCACTCCGTCGCCCAGGCTAGAATGCAGCCTTCCAAGTAGCCAGAACTACAGACGCTCTCTACCATACCCAGATAATTTTTTAATTTTATTTTGTTGTAGAGATGAGGTCTCACCAAGTTGCCCAGGCTGGTCCCAAACCCGTGGGCTCAGGCAGTCCTCTCACTTTGGCCTCCCAAAGTACTGGGATTACAGGCTTAAGCCACCACACCTGGCCAGTAATTGCTTTTTAATAACTATTACAATTACCAATATGGGTATTATTAAAATGTTTATGAAAGTCTGAATAAGTTCAGGTCTTGCTGACTCTCTGGATGTAGCCTATAATTGAACCCTAATAGATGAAGCTATATGGTTCAGAGATTTAATTTAAAGCCCCAGATATTATATATTGTCCTGTTTATGTGCAAGAGATTTAAATAATCAAGAGGTTTTAAGGACCAGAATTAGTGCTATTCTGAAATAACCTTTTTCTTTATGCCAGAAGGTATACAGAAAGGCTATGTGTATGTTAATATTGATATGGATATTTTACCTTTCATGGTGAAAGTTTAAATTAGTAAAATTAATTTCTTATTTCAATTTTTACATTTATGTCATTGAGATAAATCAATGGTAGGTTGTTTGGTGTTTTTAATATGTTCTTCCAATCTACTTTTTTTAAAGTTTTTTTGTTTGTGTGTTTGTTTGTTTTTTGAGATGAGGTCTCACTATACTGCCTAAGCTCCTTTTTTATGTGCTCTTCTTTCTAACCAGTGTGGAAAGAAGAGACCCTCTGGCGGCCTTGGCCCGGGAATATGGTGGGTCCAAGCGCAATGCTCTACTGAAATGGTGCCAGAAGAAGACAGAAGGTTATGCGGTAAGGGACAATGTCAGCCAGCTTCCAGTCAGCTCTAGGCAGTGGTGCAGTGGTCTGTGTCATTACGTGTTCCATGTGTGCCTATGCTTATGGGCGAGTATACATATAATTGTCATCTGTCTATTCTCCTGAGCAGGGTAGTTGGGAGGGTTTGATATTTGTGCTCTACACCAAGACACCTAGATGGCAAGGCAAATGCAGTTGAAAGCCAGTCTGTACTCCATCCAACGAAATGGTCTGCATGCATGCCTGCATTCAGAGCTGTATCTCCTGCAGGAAGAGGGACATTTTTTCTTTAGTCAAAGGAGACATAAGCTCTCAAGCAGTACATCCAACAGGCTGCTTCCTCTCAAGCAGTTTTTACTAAATCATCCTCCCAAAGATGTCATCTTTTCCTGATTCACATAAGTGCCCCACATAAGTGGACCTCCAAAATTTTTCCTCCAAAAATTTTCTTGCTGTTGCTTCAAGAATTGTTTGTATTTAGTTTAAGAGTTTTGGTTTACCAGGACAGTATTTGCTTTTGTGAAGGCCAGACATAAGTTTAAGGTTTTTTATTGTTAAACATACACAAAGATAAAAATGCACAAAACATAAATGATAGCTTCATGAATTATTACGAAGTGAAAACTCATACAGTCACTTCTCCCACCCAGAAATGGGGCATTGCCAGCTCCCACAAGCCTTTCCTGTGGCTTTCCCATCATAAGCCCTCACTACTCCATGAAGTAGCTGTTGTCCTCCATTCTTTTCCTTACAGTTTTCTACAAAAATATCCGTTCCTAAATACTACGTTAGTTTTGTTTGCATTTGAATTTTATTATAGATGAAATTTAAAACTGTAATGTTTGCATCTGGCTTTTTCACACAGTATTAAGGTTTATCCATGCTGTTGATGAGGTATGCCTCTCCCTCCCCTGGCAGTTTCTCTCAGCTGCCAACCTTTTACCTCCCCTCCCCTGGCAGTTTCCCACTATTGCTAATCCCTTTTTTGTAGTATTATGATAATTGTTCAAGGTCCACTTATGAATGAGAACATATGGTACTCTGTTCTCTGTTTCTGTGATAGGTCACTGAGTATGATAGACTCTAAATCCATCCAAGTTGCTGCAAAGTCCATGTTTGTCCTTCTTTATGGCTGCATAATATTCCATTGTGTATATGTACCACATTTTTAAAAATCCAGTCCAGCTTCAACAGGCAGCATGGTTGGTTCCATGTTCTTGCTATTGTGAATAGAGCTGCAGTGAACATGCGTGTGCAGATGTCTTTTTGGTAGAATGATTTGAGTTCCTCTGGGTGTATTCCCAATAGGGGGATTGCTGGGTCATATGGAAGGTCAATTTCTAGTTCTTTCAGAAATTGCCACAATGTCTTCCAAAGAGACTGCTTACTGCCTGCCGTACATCTTCTTTTGAGAATACACCATCTTTATCTACTCACTGTATTACTGATGGACAGTTGAGTCATTTCTGGTTTGGGACTATTATAAATAATGCCAGTATGTTCTTGTGCATATCTCTTGGAATACATTTGTGCTCATTCCTGCTGGTATATACTTAGGAGTAGAATTATTGGGCCATTAGTTTGCATAGACTCAAGTGTAGTAGATAGTGCCAAACAGATTACTGAAGTATTAATAGTTGTAGAATTTATACCCTACCAACAATTTATGACTGTTTGCTTACCATAGCCTCTACCTTCTGGGCTCAGACAGTCCTTCTACCTCAGCCTCCTGTGTAGCTAGGACAACAGGCACACACACCATGCCTGGCTAATTTTTAAAATTTTTACAGAGACAAAGTCTCACTTTGTTGCCCAAGCTGGCCTCAAATTCCTGGACTCAAGCAATCCTCCTGCCTCGGCCCCCCCAAAGTGCTGGGATTACAGGTGTGAGTCATCATGCCTGGCCTAAAAATTCTTTATATATTCTGGATGTAAGTCCTTTGTCAAGTATAGATATATGGCAAATATCTTCTCCCAGTGAGGCTTTAATTTTCACTCTCTTGATGATCAAAATTATTTATTTTAATTAAGTCCAATTTATCAATTTTTCTCTGCTGGTTGGTGCTTTTTGTATCCTGTATAAGAAATCATTGTTAGCGTGGGCAACATAGCAAGACCGCATCTCTATAAAAAAAAAATTTTTTAATTAAATTAATTAGCCAGGTGTAGTGGCACGCGCCTGAAGTCCCCAAGGCTGAGGCAGAAGGATCACCTGGGTCCAGAGGTCAAGGCTGCAGTGAGCCGTGATTGTGCTACTGCACTCCAGCTTGGGTGACAGGCTGAGACTCTGACCCAAGAAACAGAAAAATCACTGTTTATTTCAAGATTGTGAAGCTATTATCCTGTTTTCTCTTAATTGTTGTTCTTTTACACTAAACAGACACAATCTTTCAAACCGCCAACTCCTACTTCATTCTTAACAATGTTTTGCTAATACTTCTGAAGAAAGCATAAACTTACTCGTGACCTTGTTTATTGTTTTCCCGGCTCTTTCCACTCTGCCTCAGCCCTGTACTAAGAGGCTGAACCAACCCGTGAGGGAAGGCGTCTCAATAACAGCATCCCTCCGGCACATAAGCCCATGCTGCTGACGAAATGGAAAAGGATAAGGCGTCATAGGGAGACAGCTGACTGTAAGAGGTTTTAGCATAAAGGAAATAGGAATAGTCATGGAAAATTGAAGAAAACAATGAAAAAGAGTAGTCAGTCAAGTGGTCACTGATGGCTGTCTATATTGTCATTCCCCTCTGACAGAAATGATCCAAGGGAGCTGCTATAGTGGATATAAAAAGACATTTTCAGAAGGAACTGGCCCTTTATTGATGTAACATTGTTATAATTAGATTGCAGGAAAGAGATAGACAGTATGATATTTCCAGTCATAATCATGAGAATAATATTTTCTATTATAGTGATTTTTTTTGAGTTGGAGTCTCACTCTGTCACCCAGACCGGAGTGCAGTGGCAGCTCCTGGCCACCGCAGCCTCCACCTGCTGGGCTCCGGCGATCCTTCCACCTCAGCCTTCCGAGTAGCTGGAACTACAGGCGCACGCTACCATGCCCGGCTAATTTTTTTATTTATTGTAGAGATGAGGTCTCACCTGCCTAGGTGGGTCTCGAACCCGCGAGCTCAGGCAATCCACTCACCTCAGCCTCCCAAAGTGCTGGGATTACAGGCTGAACCACCGAGCCCGGCCTATTATGGTGATTTTTTTCATGAACATCTTGGATTAGTTTTCAAAGCATTTTATGTTTGATGAAAAAAAACAAAAAAAAAACTCATTTTGCCTGAAGAGAATTTTTCATTCATTGTCAAATGTCTGTAAAAGCATAAATATAAATCATATGTGTGTGCTTTATGTATTCATCATAAAATATTCTTTTTCTACACCTGCTTGTCTAAGATGCCCCATAGGCTTGTTCTCTCAGGATTGGGAATACAAAAATAACTTGTGGAAAACTCAGGTGGTTCATAGTCTTTTTGAAAACCAGCAGCTATGTGCATTTTGAGTTTCTTTTTACCTCGCAGAAGTACAGTATGATGCATTATGTAAAATCCCTCCTTATGTTAATTCAGTAGTGAATTTTTGTTGGGGAACCTATTCAGTGTCAGGTAATTTTTTTAGGTGCTGGGAATTCAGCAGTGAATGAAACAGGCAAAGTTTCTGTGTTCTCATGGAACTCACATTCTCATGGAGATTGACAGTTACTTAAAATAAAGAAAAGTAGCCGGGCTCGGTGGCTTAGCCTGTAATCCCATGGCTTTGGGAGGCTGAGGTGAGTGAATTGCCTGAGCCCGCGGGTTCAAGACCCACCTGGG